CGAGTCTTCTTCTTCTCAATTGCTTCCTGGGACACGGATGTTCGCTTGTACTGGCTAGGATACTACTGTTAGAAGTGCTGTGCCTCTGCCAGACGTCTTAGTTTTAGTAATACACGAACGATGATTGCCTGCTGCAGACGCACTCTCGGAAAGCCTGTTATTACCAGAATGGCGCCTGAGTGTGATGAGCGGCTCCAGTGACTTCTGCCACTAGCTTTCAGCAGCAAATGTACTTCTAGTATGTACTTCTAGTACAACTATCGGTGGGGGCAAACGTTATCTCCATGTCAGCTCTTGCGAAAACAAAGCCCACGAGGCTATGTAAGGGGTAGGGGTGGTGGACTTTTATGAACCCTCCCCCCGCCCCTTCGCTTACGTTGCAGCTCTCTTCTGAGAGCGTTAGTTTTTGGCAGTTTCCGTGATCAGTGTCACCACGCTGACTCCCCCCCCCGCGTACAATTTTGTATAAGTATGCTGGTAAATTGCTTCCGTTTTTTAATTGTCTTTTCGTCGCGTTAGAAGCTTGACACCGTGGTCATGTCGAAGGAAAAGACTCATATTAGCATCGTTTTTATCGGACACGTCGACAGTGGCAAGTCTACTACCGTTGGACACCTTCTCTACAAATGTGGTGCTATCAAACAGAAAACTATCGAGCAATATGAGAAGGAATCTAGTCAGGTGAGGTTGAATGAATCTGTATTAACTGCTTTCGGTAGATGGGCAAGGGTTCCTTCAAGTACGCATGGGTTCTCGACAGACTGAAGGCCGAGCGGGAACGTGGTATCACCATTGATATCACCCTCATTAAATTCGAGACGTTACAGTCATTGATGCCCCTGGTCACAGAGATTTTGTCAAGAACACGATCACTGGCACCAGCCAGGCTGACTGTGCCGTCCTCATGGTGGCTGCCGGTGTTGGTGAATTCGAGGCTGGCTTTTCCAAGGAGGGGCAGACTCGTGAGCACGCTCTTCTGGCATACACCATGGGTGTCAAAGAGCTTATTGTCGGCGTCAAAAAGATGGACTCGACCGAACCTCCATATTCCGAGGCACGTTACGATGAAATCAAAGAGGAGATTTCGACATACCTCAAGAAAACTGGTTACAATCCGATAGCTGTCCCATTCTTACCTATCTCCGGTTGGCACGGTGATAACTTGACCGAGGCTAGCACGAACATGCCGTGGTACAAGGGGTGGACCTGCACCCGCCGTAGCGGGCACACCACTGGCAAAAATCTCATTGAGGCCATCGACAACATCGAGCCACCAAAGCGTCCCACTGACAAGCCTCTTCGTCTTCCCCTTGAGGTATGTCACATTCTGAATGTTAATCTATTCCTTTTAGGATGTCTACAATATCGGTGGTATCGGCACTGTGCCTGTCGGTCAAGTGAAGACTGGCATTATAAAGCCAGGTACCGTTGTGCAGTTTGCCCCATCTGGTCTCACAGCAGAAGTGAAATCAGTGGAAATGCACCACGAAGCTCTTTCTGAAGCTGGACCCGGCGACAACGTCGGTTTCAACGTCAAGGGCATTTCTGTCAAGGAAATTCGCCGTGGCTACGTCGCTGGTGATTCAAAGAACCAGCCACCTGTCGAGACAGAATCGTTTAACTCTCAGGTCATCATCATAAACCATCCTGGAAATGTCAAAAACGGCTACTGCCCCGTGTTGGATTGCCACACGGCCCATATCGCCTGCAAGTTTGCCGAGATCGTAACCAAAATAGACAGACGAACTGGCCTGACCCTAGAAGAATTCCCCGAGTGTATTAAGTCTAACGAGGCAGCAATTGTGAAGATAATTCCATCTAAACCAATGTGTGTGGAAACCTTCACCGAGTTCCCGCCACTCGGTCGGTTTGCCGTCCGTGACATGAAGCAAACGGTCGCCGTTGGCGTTATCAAGAGCGTTGAGAAGAGGGTGGCTTAGACCAAGGTGACGAAGGCCGCGACGAAGGCTCTGAAGAAAAATTAATTGAAGGTAGTTTGCTATAATAAATCCCTACAGTTCCATTGTCTCTGCTTTTCAATAGAACGTTTATACTGCTGGATTGCAAACATTTTGTTTGGTCGGGTGTCACCTCTTATCCATACTGCGTCGCAATCAATGGCAATCGGGGTTTTGGTGCCCTACGAGTTTGCTAAAGAATGGAGTCCTCGTGGGTTCGCGAAACTGTACTGGAAAGCAGTCTAAGGGTGTTAGTTGTCCCAGGGGTTATTTTTTGTGGCCAGATATCAGACTTCTGGCGGTCGTGAAACTGGTGCTTGTGGAAAGAGCTGGGGGTTATCACATGCTTTGGAACTGTCACCCTGGTGTTAGGTAGGTGGACATGCGATGACCTGGCCCGCTGTCCGTTCAGGGATGTTGCATGTCAGCGTCAGGGGAGACTGTAGGTGGGCTGTCATATTTATGGTGAATTGCCAGACTCGTCGCGTCCTATCCATTTATGGTTTACACTATATTGGTAGTACGCGCGGTCTGGGGTTCGGCCACGAACGTCTATCGAGACAACTTCCCTTAACCGTCAGTGCGCTGGCGTTTTCGGCCGGTCCACTCTTTCTGGTGTTTGCACAATAACCCGTGAACATAGTCACCCAGGTACAAATGGCCCGATCATAGTGCAATTACGCGGCCCTGCCTGCCTTGATTTCACTTATTTTTCCTAA